TAGTTCTCACAGTGCTAAGAAAGCTGTAGTCTGAAGGCGTCCAGACACAGAACCCACTCCTCCTTTCAGAAAGATCTTAGATGCCGACATTTTCTGCCTTACTGATAGAGCTGCTTCATTCAGAGAGAAAAACTTTTTGGAAAATACGCAGATAACCAAATCTACCAATAACTTTTCTGGAGAAACAAACAAAAAGGACTGTCTAGGAGGAAATTACTGATTAACAGGCCATTAGTTGAGAGCAGCCATCTCTCCCAGAATTCCTTAAAGAATTTAAGGTGAAGAACGGCTTTATTAGTAGCATTTATCATCTGCTTCCACTCATTGTGTCTTGTCAGTGTCTCTTGTTTAGCTGATAAAAAACACGTGGGCAGTTAAAACCTGCAAAGCGCCAACCCCTTTTATGCCATTTCACAGGTGTTACTCATGAAAACCTTATGGACCAAGGTTGTACCTAACTCATCTTGATTTTGTTTCTCTGCTAAAGAGCAAGGAAATATCCAAGAGACTTCATTGGATTGCAAAATGAAAACAAGTTTTCAGACTAATGGGTCTGAAAACCACAGTGGGATAACCCACCTCTAAGAAGTCGGCAAGCACCTGCTGAATGAAGGCTGGTTAAAATCGAAAGCGGGCTCATCATTTCTGTAGACAATTTTTATCCCAAACTCTCAGAAAGAGGATCACAAAGTCTGTTTAAACCACTCTTTTCAGAATATGCCTCATATCCTTTTATTCATTCCTGTTATCTTAGTATAAACCTTAATGTTAAAATGATTAGCATAAAAAATGTTCCTGCTGGTGGCGGTTTCTTAATTAAAAATATACTTTATGTGCAGACCCTACCAACAGTCTAGTTACCATTTCCCCCCTGAATTCCAATGACCTATAAACAGTATTTCTCTTAAACCACCTTAAAAACTACTACAGGTAGCACCCCCCCTTATGACATGCTCAAGTTATGAAGATGAAATCTGTGTTTTATACATCTAATTATTAATTACATAGCACAACATGTAATTTGCCGTTATTCTTATGCCAACCCTCAAAGACAAAGATTAGATTTACAATTATACTACAAGGTTGTGGTGAAGTAAAATTTCTTAATGTCTCTCAATGTTTGGGTGGGACAGTGCAGTGTCCAGGGCTCCAACGCAGGGATTAGTCCATCTTGCCATTCCTCTGGATATGTGAGTCATCTCAGAAGCAGGAACAGAGAATCCTGGGGACATCAAGAACAGCCACCAGCAGAGTTTATGCAAGATCCCTGTCCGAAGTGGCGGGGGAAGCAGAGACTGCAGCTCTAAGACCACGAGACAGAGCAAAGGAGTCGCACCACTGAGACCGAGTCAGTGAGGCAGAACAGCAGGTGAGGTTCCTGGCCCATGGAGGCAAAGGCCAACGGGCTGTGTGACTGTGGCTGAGACCAGAGAGCCCTGGCTCCTGGCTGAGAAGAGGTGCTGCTGTAGACTTAATGACTGTACCCTCAATGGCTTACGGTCCTGACTTGTGGTAACTTGTTAACTTCCCTTCTAAACCCTGACAATCGAGTATTCTCTGTAAGCTTTGTGTGGCCATTGCAACAGATTATCCAAACCTGCAGAAAAGTTGGTATCAGGATAAAGGATGGCAGGTAGAAGCATGTCTGACCTTTGCCTTGTAGTAAGTAATTGGACTTGGTCTGGTGTGTGGTTAGATTCTCCTCCTTACTGAAGTGGGGGAATTCCAGAACACTTCATTGTGCTCATGAGGAACTTGTACATGGATCAAGAGTCAGCCGTGTAAACAGAGAACGAATACTACACTGTTCAAAATCAGGAAAGGTGTGTTAGGATTGTATCCTTTACCATACTTGTTCAACCTATATGCTGCACAAATCCTAAAAGCTGGATTAGATGAAGACAGCATCAGGATTGGAAGGCTTCTTCACCACCTGCAATATGCAGCTGACACAAACCAGCTTACTGAAAGGGAGGACCTGTTGATGAAGATAAAAGGATTGCAGCCTCTTGTATGGATTACAGCTCAATGTAAGAAGACCAAAATCCTCACACCTGGACCCAAAGTGAACATTGGGGTAAACGGAGAAAAGGGTGAAGTTGCCAAGGATCTTGTCTTGCTTGGATCCATTATCAACAGAACAGTCAAGAAATCAAAAGATCAGTGGCATTGGGTAAATCTGCTGGACAAGGATGTTACTTTGAAGACTACCGTGTGCCTGACCCACGCCATATTTTCCTTTGCCTCATATGCATGTGGATGTTGGACACTGAGTAAGGAAGACTGAAGGAGAATCGACACTTGAATTGTGGAGCTGGAGAATTCAAAGTCCCATGGACTGCTAAAAGGGCAAGCTGATCTATCTTGAAGGGAAGCGTGCTTCTTAGAGGCAAGGATGGTGAGACTTTGTCTCATGTACCCTGGATAAGTTGTGATGAGGGACTAGTGCCTGAAGGACATTATAGCGTGGTAGAGTGGAGGGCCTCACTGAGATGGGCCGACACTGCAGCTGCAACAATGGGCTCAGGTGTAAGAACAATTGTGAGGATGGCGCAGGACTGGGTACTGTTTCCTTCTGTTGCACAGTTGCTTAAGTGGGGACGGATCCGATGGCACCTGACAACAACTGAAGGTGGAGGAGGTCAGATAAGGCTGCCATGCCATTCCCTGTGGCAAAAATAATGCAAAGTAAAACAATTAAGTAGAGGTTTTCCAACTGAAATCAAAACTGACTTGGCCAGTTAGCAGAACAGAACCCCACCACAAGTCTGGGACTACTTGTGTTTTAATGTGTTTATGTAATGCCATCAAAGCAGCCCCATGTGTGCAGAGTAGGCTGGCCCTCTCAGAAGCACATCACCCCGCCTGACTTCTGGGGGAAACTCTGGGGGAATTTGAATTGCAATTTTTTGGCTAGTAATTGAGCATTAATGCACCAGTTAGCAATGGGAGTCACCCTGAGTTGCAACCACATCAATGACAAGCCATCACCACCATCACCTTCACAGCCTCGAATAATTAACTTCCAAGGTTAATTATCACTCGGCCTGCCCATCCCCAATTTGTTGTCAGTTTCCAGGAAACAAAACTATACCTCTGTTTGTAGGAAGTGATCACCTAGCATGTCCAAAACCTGCTAGTGCATTGAGATCATCAGAGTAGTTTGTTAAAATTAACACATACCCACTACCTCTCTTCTGCCACACTGATTACATAAATCTGGGATGAGGCCTGTGACTTCTCACTTCTAGCAAACAGAGCCTCAGGCAACTGCATTCTACCAGTCCCGGCCTTCGAAAACCACTGCCTACCATTCCCTTCATTTCATAGGCAGGGAAACTGGCTTAGAGACAAAGACATCTTGGGTTAGAAGTTCAGATTAGACACAACCCAGCCTTCCTGACTCCTGGTTCAGGGCTCTCTCCTCTAGGATTCCATTTCAGAGTTCTGATACATACAGAATGAAGAGAGTTCATTCGAAGCCTTATTTTTGCTGTCAAGAAAATCTCACCTTTAAAGGTAGCTCATTTCAGTATTTATATCCAAGTGTAACGATGACAAACTTTACAGGTTGGAAGTTTCTAACATTCAAATGTTTTATGTATACCTTCTCCAAAAAGACCATGTATTTAAAGAAAGAAACGGGTGGTTCCACAATTTAACAAGCAGGTAACCTGTAACATTGACTCCTGTCTAAGGAAAGGAGGAGTATCAGATAGCCTCTCACGACTAGTGGGGGCATAAGGCCGGGGAAGCAAAAGATTCCAATGGTAGGATAATTAGAAACTTGGGCCCAGAGAGAGATTAGAAGGATTCCTGCAAAGGCCCCACAAGAATAACCAATGGGAAGATCGCTCGGAGTTTGAGAAAACTGTGAGGTTATTTGTATTGCCTTTGTATTCCATGATAAATGGACCCTGAATCCAAGTTGGCTTGTTTTTACATAAATCAAGATTGAGCTCCTGGTGTTAAAACTCTGGTTATATGTTAAAGAACAAAAACCGCACTACTTGAGATAGCTGGGTACTTGAATACCTGAAATTATAAAACTACCCTAGGCATTGTGGGGCAGAGATTCTAGCTGAGTTTCAGACTGGAGCAAGGAGTCGTATAGAGTAGGTTCAGAAGGGTCCTCATCGGGGTTTTAGATTCAGTTAAGTAATTTTAAATTCAGTTAAGCAAATTTAATATTTGAGGAGCTATTATCCAAACATCCAACTCCTTTTGTATTCACTAATTCTAAAAGTGTTTTAAAAATAGTTGAAGTTATTGCATCAGTTAGGACATACTTATATAGTGTAATCTGTCCAATCAGAAATACCTTCTGGTCAATGCCACTGTGATTTCTGAATTATACTCAGAAGCTTGTCTGTGATCCTTACTCAGGAACACAAGTAACTCTACTTTAGAGGAATTTTTTTTATAAGGGACCTGTGTATCCAGCGAATTTATCTTAGTACTTTCTAAAGCTAAATGGTTTTATATTACAGAGTAGAGATAGATCCTTAATAGTTTGGGTTTTTTCCCCTAATAGTTGGTTTTAAGAGATTCCTTACATAGGATTGAGAAGCGTTTGTCAGAACTAATTTAGACCTTTCAAATCCTACAGGTTCACGCAACACTTTAAAATATTATTTTAATAGTCAAGCTTATATGAATTTTGCTCAAATCTAAACATGCTGTAGCCAGTTTGGCTTTAGAAACTTGAAGCTATTAGATAGTATTAAATGCCAAGCAAGAAAATAAATGTATTTCTCAAAAGTATATCTACCTAGAGATTGAAAAGTAATTAAAACCTTACTTAAATGTATGTATCACTGGGTGAAAGAGAGGATTAGATAACCTGGAGCAAATTCTTATAGAAACAACTCTAACTTTGGCTCTTTATAACTGTATTAGAACTTTATTTAACAACTAACTCAGTAAAGGCCCAAAGTGACGGCTCTTAACTTGGTATGTGGAGATCAAGTTAAATACAAAGTGCCTTAAAAAAAAAAAAATCAGCCCAATACCAGTTTCCTTTAATAGGTAATGTCAAACTTCTATGAGACAAAGCCTTATAATAAAGAAAGACTAACAGTAACATTGAAAATAATTTTTTAAAGTTCATTTACCAATTTGAACAATCTAAGGAGAAAAAAAAGTCTGGCCATAATAACAGGTGGCACAGATATTATGTTTCAGTAGAAAACATAGGATAAAAAAGCATTATCACTGAAAATATTGCACAACTTCAGGTATTTCCTCCAAATTTGCTTTATGTAATTGGGTGGATATAATCAATAGAAACATAAGCAAGATACATGTAACAATTTGACAGAACCTGATTATCTCATTTCTTTACACTTTTCTCAAATTCATCTTTAAATCTTTCCAACAAAGAGCTCATATGGGAATTCCCCAACATAAGAATACTACAGCCAAATGGCAAATCTTTTAAAAGTACTTTTGACATGTTCAATTGCCCATCATTTGATTAGGAAGAAACTTCACGATATTTGGGTTTTGTGTGTAGAAAACTGTTAAGATTCAAATATTTAACGCAATATAAAATAATAAACACTTCTGATTTCTTTGTTGGGTTAAGCCTGCTTCCCCTTTTGCAAATGAATGACTTTTTAGCTGTGATATCACGGAGCTGAACAAACAAGTCACCTTTGAGTACATAAGGGAAAATAAACACATGCTAACTGGATGAAACATTACTACATCTTTTACTAGACCACCTCTACCAAAAACACTTCAGAAAAGTAGAGATTCATAGTGCCCTTACATTGACTGCAAGAAAAAGACAAAGGAGAAATGCCTTCTTTTCTGAGAGCACAACTATGAAGTCATGTTAGGTTATACAAACTCTGCATTTGTGTGCAAAACATGAAATAATTAATCTTAATTCTCCCTACTTAACTGACTTGCCAGTCAGTTAACAGAGCTTACCAAATAGCTCTCAAAGAAACAGAAACGGAGATGTGTTTTCTGTCACTTCAATAACCTCAGCACTACAGTAATGAGATGCAGTATCCTTTTGCTATAGTCCCAGACAACCTTGAGAAGAGGGGTACAGGGGAGAAAACAAATCAGAATTGTTACAACGGAGGAACTTTTTGCTCGCTCCAAGTTTCACCATGATGCCATTTTTTTTATTTTTATTTAGGCATGGTGGCACAATTAGTGCAATAAATCAGGTATCTTAATAGTTCAAATTTACTGACTTCATTGTCACCATAGTAACAATCAAAAAACTCAGGAAAACACACAGGGTATTACACCCACCTGACTAGTGTTGGTTACTTGACACATCCACTCAGTCTTTATAGGAAAGGGATAGTGCATCTCAGTTTGCTTACAAGCTAGGAGATCACTTTAAATTCTGCATTTCCTAACTGCAAACAGAATATAGCACTTTAAGCAGGTTATAAATAAACTGGTTTTCAAGCATAGAGCCAGCCCCAACGATAATAATACACTATTTTAAAAGACCTAAGGCAACGGATTCCATTTCCAATGGAAAAAAAACAAACCTGTGCAAACAAGCTTAAAACTACTTTTTTTGTGTGCCAGTGTTGTAACATGTAGCTTTTAATAAAACCTTGACCCATATGCCAGCAACTTCAGAAAAGAATTTGGGTAGGAAAAAGGGGGAAGAAAGTTCATTTAGGAAAAATAACCACTATCTTTTTCCTAATAAAATCTTTCAACACACACAATTAAACATCGACAGCTGCTGAAACACGTCACACAATTCCTATGTACTGGAGCAACAACAGGATCTAAATACAATTATATTTTTTAAACACTGGGTCAAGGCTTTACATAAAAATACCATCCTACTTTCCCCCTAAGTTTCTAAAATATCACATACTTTCCCCAATATCTGCAGCCATTCAGGAATTTTTAAAGGGCATTGTTGTGCATGATCTTAATTCCTAATCCCTGGCTCTTTGGGCTCAGTGACAAAAGATCAAAACCACCAGAAATGATGGTTCACTTGAAGTGTCAGATGAGAGACCCTGGCTCAATTAGTCTCATAGGACGAAAGCAGTGCTGCATCAACTGGCTCCATGCAGGAGGGGCACGTGAAGGATCTCATCAACCAGTCATCTATACAGTCCAGGTGATAGATGTGCATGCACGGCAGAAATCGAATTGGGTCCCCATAAACAAAGTCCATCATACAGATCACACACCTGTTGGGGCAAAAGAGAGAACAGAAAGCGCTGTTAGGAGAATACAAAGACAACGTTAATCTCAGTTAACAACGGTTTGCCATTCCACCACCAAAGTAGGCAGCCTAAATTGTCTCCTAACTAGGATATTATCCCAATGCTCTAAAACAGTGGTTTCTCAACTTGTGGGTCACGACCCCTTTTGGGGAGGTGTCTAATGACCCTTTCACAGGGGTCACCCTATTCATAACAGTAGCAACGAAAATAATTTTATGGTTAGGGGGCCCACCACAGCACGAGGAACTGTATTAAAGGGTCGTGGCATTAGGAAGGTTGAGAACCACTGCTCTAGAATCTGTCGGTTGAGAGCAAATCAACAAAACAACAGGGATCATGTCCACTGCTAAACTGTGCTTGTAAAACGCTACACACTATAGAAGACAGAGTAAAATTAGGAAAGCACCAGTTAGAATAACTTCAGTGTTTCATAAATTTCGTGTGATAATTTCTATTTGTTTCCTTGTACTGAGTTTTAAATGTTAGCCTGAATGAAGAGTAAGACCATATTCTGATGATCATTTTAATATTGTTTAAAACAAACAAACAAAAACTACCACTAATTTTAGCCTTATTAAGCTATCTGAAGGTTTAACCTTCTGCTTTCTTTGCCTCATTAGCTTCACTTTTCATTTCATGGCGCTCTTCTACCTGTTCTTGAAGCACGCTGGCAGAGCGCGACTGTCGTCTAGAGGAGATGCTCACCACAGCCACCCACACTCAATGGTGCCACGGGGGCGGTAACAGTTGTTGCGCCTCAAACTAGGAACCCATAGCCAACAGTTTGAGTAGCTACACAACCTCCAAAAATATTCCCGCAACACACCTTACTTAGCTCTATTCTTACTGCTGGTTATTTGGACAGCTCGTATTTGATCCCTAAACAAGGCCACTATGGCGAGTATCTGTGTAAATAAACCTCTAGTGGTGGGAGGTTAAGTACAAATTTGGGGATTGGTCCCTTGCACAAAATTCAGGTGTTTGTGGTTATCAAATATTTGACTCCCCCCAAGTGGGGGAACTATTTTTCAAAGACAAAGAGCTGAAACCACTAAAACGCATGCAAATCGATCAAACTTACTCCCGGATCTTTTTTTCTGATCCATCTCTTCCAGGGTCATAAACACCTTTCGGCAGATGCTGTATAAGGCCTATTCTTTGAGCTATCCTAATTTGTTCCTCTTCTGTTAGTTGGGTTGCTAGCCGAGTTTGGCTAGGTGTAGGATGATAGACTGGAACTGGAACTTGTTCCTATTTAAAAAAAGAAAAAAAAAGGAAAGGAATATTAACAACAACTCTAGTCTGGAATATTTGTTTGGGGAAGGGATGGACAGAGGGGTCTGTGAGAAGAGGTAGCTAGGACACTGGGTGGCCCCATGAACGTCTCCCCCTGCATCAACTTCAGCCACAGGAAACACAGACCAAATAATTCAGTTAGACTTTGGACCTACATGAGAGAATAAAGGCAGTTTCACAAAAAATGAAACAAAAATACTACATGCAATGTTATTTCAACCATTTCCACATGAAGATCACTCTACACACATCCCTTCAAAACATTTTTGGGAAAATTCCACTATTTTTCAATTCCATTTTCCAAAACTTTTGAAGTCTCCTGTGGGTGTATGTATGCATGGATATATGGAAATGCTTCAAATACACACATGTAATATTCCTCATGCACAAATATGTATCTAAATCAATAAATACAAATTACAGCTCTACTTAATTAACCAATATAAGCTAACTACATATCTTATGGGTTAACACTTAACTTTTATGTCCTAACGCTGTGGTTCTCAACCTTCCTGATGCCGCGACCCTTTAATACCGTTCTCATGTGGTGGTGACCCCCCAACCATAAAATTATTTTCATTGCTACTTCATAACTATTATTTTGCTACTGTTATGAATCGGCGACTCCTGTGAAAGGGTCATTCGACCCCCGAAGGGGTCACGACCCACAGGTTGAGAGCCACTGGCCTAATGTATCAATAACTCTTTAGAAGTAGAAAGCCTTATCTTTCGCCATCAGAGCAGCGGGTGGTTTCAAACTGCCCCATGTGTACCCACTAGGAAACCATAATATCCAAATATTTTAAATCGAATACTCAGGTAGAATAGGAAGCACTGTGACCCAACGCATGTTTCAGAACCCTAAGAACCAACGGAACAGTTTGGAAAACACATCTATTTTAGAAAGAATGTGGATTGTTTAGTCTGAACAATTAAAATAGAGCCCTAACTGCTTACTGTAGTGACTTGAACCAAATGTTTTTCTTCAAATGTCTTAATATCTTTGAATAAAAGAAATACTATACCTACTTTAGAAGGCTAATGATACAAATATCAGATAATATGAAAGAGCTTTATAAACCCCAATATTTGTAAGTTATTCTGACCTTTAATTTTGTTTTCCTCTCTCTGATCACATGACTCACTCGGGCTTACAGACCTTAAGCTAAGTGCTAAGGTCCCTGACTTATGACTTGTCGAAAAGTACTAAAAATTCTTGCTGTGAACTCTGTCATCTGAGCTCTTCAACTCTTAGATGACCATGTCTAACCTACAACACGGTCTGGATTCTCTCAATCCCAGTACTATTCTAGCCAGTCTAGGTGAAGGACCACCCACACAATGATACGACACATAAAAGGTTATTTGAACTGGTAGAGCATATCTGTTTACATAATTTAGAGCTAAACGGTTTTGTAACAAAATATTTATTTCCAAACACGTTTTTAAGATGCTAGATTTCTTTGATTTTGTTGTACACACACACACACACACATACACACATTTATGTACAGAGAATACAACACAGATTAGAAAATGAACGTTGTATTTTATGAAAAATTTGGATTTCACAGGCATTAAAAGAATAAATTAAAAATCCTGTCTTTTTATTATTCACATTGTGAATATATGCTCTTTTGGGGGGCATTAAATTAACCAATGTTGAATGATTAGACATTTAAATTGCAGTTTCCAGAAAGTTGCATTGGGAAGGAAATGACTAAGACCTCCTGATATTTTAAAGAGGAATGTGACCTTGTCTATTTTACTACACACCTAATTTACAAATTCATCCCCAGCATATTTAAAAAATAAGCAGAGCAGTGTCTTGATGCCTAGTTATCAATCACTTCAACTAGAGATACAAGGTGCTGTGGGGGCACAACAGCTTACCCCAAAGTGGCTTGTATAAGCCAACCCAGTAGCTTTGTGAGAAAAATCCTGGCAATCTGCTCTACAGGCTACAAAACCTATTGGGCAGTTCGACTGTCATATGGGGTCATTGTGAGTTGGAATCAACTGAACAGTAACCAGGAACATCAACGAGAGACATTGTTATTTTCTAGGTACAAAATGGAATCTTGCTACTGTCTGGTCAGAATCCATTAAGATTAGATTTCAGGAGAGTTCCCACAATTCCCTACCTGGTAAGAAGAGTGGTTCGATGCTGAAACTCGAGGCAAACAATCAGCTTTATGCTGAAGACTTGCTTTCCTCTGGGGAGTCTGAAACATTTGTGTGAAGCAGAGGATGCTCACTCAGCACCACGGGCACAGAGTCGCCAATGAAGTCACATGTTTTCGTGAGTATTAATGATAAAGGGCACCACACTTTTTTTTAAGCTAATGTTCAGAGTGATAGACGGTCTGCACTGACTCCTTGTTTTCAGATTGTTTGGGGCCTCACATCCCTATATCTATCTAACTTATAAGTGTTGTGCTCTTAAATAAGCATCTTAAATAAATTAGAAGTAACTTAATAGAAATGTTATTGGCGGCATAATTTACCAATCACTATGGAACACAACAGTCAAGAGACTTTTTGTTATGTTTTTTTAAGCCTTGGCCTAAAAGTTTGTGTTGACTATCACAAATCTTTGTTTTTCAGACTGCTGCTTCTCAGCTCAGCCTCCTCTACCAACCCAACAAATACTAAGTTTTTCAAGGCTCTGTCCTGGCCTGTTCCCCTGCCCGAGACTCTTGACCATGCTCACAGTTTCAATTACCACCTAGCTACAAATGATTCACAAATGCTTATTTCCAGTCTGCATCTCCCACAGAAACTCCAGGCTCTATCCAATACCTCCAATTAGTTGTATCTAAAGTACTTTTGGTATCTAAACTCAATGTTTGAAACTGAACGCCCTTCCAAAATCTGCTTCTTTTCCAGGATGCCCTTTCAGTGAATGGCACCATCTTTTTCACTGGCCCTCCTATATATTCAGCATTCCAGCACATTCTAGTGAGCTTTATTTTCTTTCAACCAATTTTATCTGTTCTTTTCCACTGTGATTGCCAACATTCAAGCTCAAGCTTCCATGTCCTCCCTAGTGTACAGTGTATTAAGGACCCCTGGTAGCAGTGGTTAAAGTGCTTTTGTGCTAACCAAAAGGTCATCAGTTCAAGCCGAACAGCTCTCTCTCTTTTTTGCCCACCAGCTCTCTTGCAGGAGAAAGATGTAGAAATCTGCTTCAGCAAAAATACCTTGGAAACACTATACGGCCATATGACTCATGGCAATGGGTTTGGTTTGGTTTATATGTATAAAATCTCCTTTAGATAGTCTTACCCATGCTCTCATTTGTTTTCCATCCAAATCCAAACCCACTGTCATTGCTTCCTTTTACTCTTAGTAGAGCTGATGACCAGCAGGACCTGCAGTCTGGTAACCTACCTACCTATTTCTTCCTCATTTGACATTCCTGCGCTGCTGTCCTAATGTTTCTGGGCCTACGTTTCTTTATCAGCGAAGTGTTGTATAGGAAATAACTAAGATAATCTAAATACAGCACCTATCTTAAGAGTGGCTCAAAACCTAGCCCCTGCTACAATAACATGACTAGACATCTCATCTTCCTGGTTCTTCTGATTCAAACCTCCCTTTCCCTTTATCCGCATCATCATGACTATTCCTGAGTGATGCCATGACACATAGGAAAGCATGCAGTACAATGCCTGACATGATCTGGCCTGTCTTTCCAGCTTCTTCCTTCACCATTTGCATCTCACATTAAGCCTCTCCTGGTGACCTAAGCACAACATAAACAATGGGCCATTTCCTAAGACAGTATGTTTTCAAATCTCTATACCTAGGTCCTTCCTCAATTTGCATCATCTTTGAAGGCTCAGTCACACCTAAGGCACTTGTGATAATCAATACTCTCAACCCTTACCATCAACTAGCACGGTGCCTTTTATTGTCCTTAGGAACATTTCTATCAGAACCACTGAATGAGAGGGAAAGGGAAACCGCAGAAACTGATACTATGAGTTTACCATTAATTCTTTCAACTCTAATTCTACTACTAAAGATCCTGAAGATGGAGCCTTTTTTTAAAGCATCTCAAAAGTTATAACTTGTTTCTCATTCTGTTTAGAGTATTAAGTCTAGGAACACAGAAAAGAAGGTTCTGACCTTTTAATGACAAAAACTTCTTGCAGCATTTTAGCCGTTTGTTAACACATAATGGAGTATCTGTAATATGAGGAGTGTTGTGAAGAACATATATGAAAACTCATGAGCCTGAATTGAATTGTAAGGAGCTATAAACAAAAAACAACAGAAACAGATGAAAGTATAAAAATACATGACCATCTCAAAGGCACTGCATTAACAGTTGGACCCAATTTGGGGAATGATACAATTTCAAAAACTGAAACAATGCACTGGGGAAGTGCCTACATAGTGTGCTGAGACTTGGAAATAGTACAAGTCTGGTTTGTGGTGAAGGAAAAATAAAGTCACTGCTAAAGAATGTAGCTTGTCACCAAACGCTGTATCCTTTCCTCCAGCAAAAAATAAAGAGCCAGCTCTTCTGATCTTTCGCCTTCTACCCTTACACACTGCTGCTGGCACCACCCCCTCTCCAGCTGCAGTCTCCTCCGTCGAAAGTGCTTGGAATGTTTTCTCTGAATTTTCCCCGCATGAAACTTAATATGACAAAATAGGGGGTTCGGAATAGATGGTCTCAATGTATACTCTAGTCCTAACGTCCAAAAACTACTAGCATGACCGTAGTTTCTAAAGTCATAAAGGGTAACAATTAGACACAGAAAGGGGAAAAAAAGGGCCACCAGCACATGATGGTGTCACAGTCACTAAGTGTGTAGTATACGAATCAGGACAGCCTGCGTGGAAAAGAGCATGCCTCCAGGTGGCTTTGAAATGAAAAAGTTGTTTCCTTTATGCATTATTAAATATTTACTGAATCCTTTGTATACAGGACTATTATGCAACATTTTAACTGGGGAAGGGTTTGTAGACACTCAGCCTGAGCAAGTTATTCAATAATCTTATCTATGCTTCTAAGCCAGTGGTTCTCAACCTACCTAACGTCGCAACCCTTTCATACAGTTCCTCATGTTGTGGTGAGCCCACACACAACCCTAAAATTCTTTTCATTGCTACTTCATCACCGTCATTTTGCTACTGTTATGAATCGGGCAACCCCTGTGAAAGGGTCATTCGACCCACAAACGGACTGCGACCCACGGGTTGAGAATCATTGTAAGCCTGCAAGACCGCTGAAGTCCAGGTCAGACTTAAGCCTAGGCACCACACCAATTATGTGACAAGCATACATTTCAGTGGGCTCAGGGCCAGCCAACATTGAACTGATGCCTTCTACCTCCTGGTTGATGAAGAGGAGCTGAACCAATCAGATGTGTTCTTTTCATAGGAATGTAAACAGGAAAATTCAATCAGCTGACATAAAAGGTCATGCAACAGCCAAAAGGCATGTGTAAATTGAGGTTTACAGGAAGCACAATGGATTAGAGAGAAATTAGAGTGACCCAGATATGAGGAGGGCTCACAAATGAAAAACCAAAAGATCCTGGCTAAGAGATGAGAGAGCAACTTCCTTGGTTCTTTGGCAGCTTCCTGATTCTAATTCACGCATATCACTAAAACAAATTACCTTTTTTGTGAGCTAATTTTGTTTAACATCTGTTTGCTGTGCTACAGTGCCTTGCTGGAAATTATGCCCTGATATTTCAAATGACAGCAAGGTCACACCTAATGGGCAGGTACCAGCAAACTTCCAGACTAAGACCAACTGGGAAGAAAAGTCTGTATAATTTAATTAACCAATGAAAACCTCGTGGGTCACACCAGGGTATGTCAGATAATGCTAGAAGATGAGCCCCATAGGCTAGAAGACTACAAAATTAAGGGCATGAACATGCCAACTCTCATGAAGATCCACGTCCACATCGGGGGGCCCATGAACTGAAGTTGGCGTTGATGATGGTAACATTTTGTTTTTTAAACAGAGTTCCCTTACACCATCATCGTTTTCTTTTCACTCAGACTGAAATTTAGAGACCCGCTTCCTCCACACAAAACAAACAAGTTTTGATTACTAACAAAGGACTAGCTGGGCAGATCCTGAGGATGGTGGTAAACCACGACCTATTTTCTCTGATGTACTGTGGGTCTAGTACATGAGTTATTATTAGAGCCACTTCATTGCTCTAGCAAAAAAAAAAATGGAATTTTTCCCATATTAGCATCCGTATTTCTTTAAAAATCATTTTATTGGGGACTCATACAACTCATCACAATCCATACATACATCAATGTGTAAAGCACATTTGTACATTCATTGCCCTCATCACTCTCAAAGCATTTGCTCTCCACTTAAGCCCCTGGCATCAGGTCCTCATTTCCCCCTTCCTTCCCCCTTCCCTCATGAATCCTTGATAATTTATAGATTATTATTTTGTCATAGCATCCTGATTTTTTAATGGCTTAAATAATATCCATTACTCCAATAACTTCTCTTCTATTCTTAAATGGAGGGTACAAATAAAAGTATCCTGTTTGAACGCTAAATCCAAAATTCCTTTATCAAGCATCAGATTAGCTGCCCTCCGAGGGTTAAAAGATGAGCACTTAAAAAAAAAATAAAGGTACTGATTCCCAAGAGTTATGTGTGGAACAGCCAAGGGTTGGCTTTGGGGCTCAGGAAGTCTGGAATAGTATTCACTGCACTAAACTCTCTAACAGATTATCATCCCCTCTCCCTCGTTAAAGGATCAGAGCTGAGAATTATCTCCAAAGACTGGTAAATTTATGTCCTAAGATTGTTGCAAAGTAAGTTCAGTAAGCATATTTCTTGGATTCTTGTGTTTCTGAGGGAAACAAAGGAGGACACCACTCTATTGATATGTTTAATGGATTTTTAAAGTAAACCTCTAAACACTGCAGAAACATGAAAAAATGTTTATAAAAAGCACTGTAAATAAAAAAGTAAAAGGGTACAAAACTGTAACAGAGTACCATGATACATAAATATCACATTAAAAAATTAACTCTGGTTGTCTCAATGTTAAATATAGTCTAATTTCTTTACTTTTACATAATTATATAAAGCACTTTCATATAGCTATATGAAGCACTGGAAGCACATACTTGCCTATGCCACTAAATCTGGAATTTAGCTATTTGGCCAAGTGACCGGAAAAGATCCATATTTATACCCATTCCAAAGAAAGGTGACCCAACAGAATGTTTGGAACATTATCATTGATATCACATGCAAGTAAAATTTTGCTGAAGATCATCCAACAATGGTTGCAGCAGTACATTGATAGGGATCTGTCAGAGGCTCAGGCTGGATTCAGAAGAGGGCATGGAACTATCAGATAGCTGGCTGAAAGCAGAGAATGCCAAAAAGATGCGTACTTGAGCTTTACTGACTATGCCAAAGCATGTGTAGATCAAAACAAACGACAGTCTCTTTGAGAAGAATGGGAGTTCTAGAACACTTCAATGTGCTTGTGGGGAACCAGTACATGGATCAAGAGTCAGTTATATGAGCAGAACAAGGGAATGCTTATAGTTTAAAATCCAGCAAGGTGTGCATCAGGCTTGTATTCTCTTACCATATATCTTTAACCAGAGAAAACCAGAGAAGCTAGATTATATGACGAATGTGGCATCCTTATTGGAGAAAGGGATATTAACAATCGGTGATATAAGGACAACCTTGCTTCCTAAAAGTGAGGAGGACTTGAAGCACTTGATGAAGATCAAGGATTAAAGCCTTCAGTATGGATTAATGTAAGAAGACCAAATGGGGTTGAACAACAGAACTGTATGGAAAGGAAAGGGATAGTATATACTGGAATGATTAAGATAGGTCAATAAAAATATTATCAAAAAAGACCCAAATCCTCACAAATGGACCAATAGGGAACATCATGATAAATGGAGAAAATGTTGAGATTGTCAAGAATTTTTGTCTTCCTGGATCCACAATCAATGCTCATGGAAGTCAACAGATGCACTGATGCACTGAGTATATCTGGTGCACAAGACCTCTTTAGAGTACTGAAAAACAAAACTGTTTCTTTGAGGACTAAGGTGCGCCTGACCCAAGCCATGGTATTTCCAATTGCCTCACATGTATATGAAAGTTGGACATTGAAGAGATGCATTTGAACTGTAGTGCGGTCAAAGAATATTGAAAATACCATCGGCTGCTAAATGGACAAACCTATCGGTATTGGAAGAACTACAGCTAGAGTGTTCCTTAGAGGCATGGAGGGCAAAGTTTTGCCTTACATATACTCTGGACATAAAGTCGTCAGGAGACATTAGTTCCTGGA